TTTATAGTAATAATATGTAATAATAATATTTTAACCAGAACTATAGACCTTACTCGTGATAGTCCACGATCCAATTCCATGTTGTATTCGGCACAATTGTGGGCCACGGCCAATTGGTTGAGAATTGCTGGAGTAGGGTTTGGACATTAGTTCTGTCTAAAATATGAAACTTATATATAATAGTTTAACACCAAGAAAAAAAAACATAGAGCATACTTAAAGACTTAAAGCATAGTACAGACAGAATCAAAAAAAATGTATATAATTAGGTCTTTTCATACGTATAAATGACAAACATTGAAATACTAATCTTTGATACATGATTCAGGGGTTAAATGAGCGCGAATGTGTGTGTGTGTGTACCAGTGTATTGAATGGATTTAATATCAAAACACGGCTTTCGATGCCGTCAACGAATATCACAAATGGTAACACGTACAAGTTTCCAGTGTCACAACAAGGGTGGATTCGCGGGTTTCGACGTGAAAGTTTCAAACGAAAAACGAGGCCTCGGTGCACCATTGAAATACGATGTCACGGTTTTTGTCATCGCGAAAATCCGCGTGAAATCCACTCATCCCACTCGACGTGCATAATAATCTATTGTCACTGTACGCGCGCTGCCAGCAATAGTTACGGAGCAGCTGCTTGGTGTGTAATGCGATTACCACCCGCGATAAGTTCGGTGAAAAACAATGACCGTTGCGCGCGTATGACAAAATGCTTTGCTGCAGTAGTCAGCCGCCAAACACCACCTGCAACCCGGTCCATGAGCAGCGGGACACCTGTTATTTTTATTTTTATTTTTTTGACCTAATATGATATGCGACTCGAAATCATATGAATATGAATGTGTTTTTTTATTTTTTTATTCGTCACCCGCGCGCAAAACGATAAATATGTTTTTGACTCAGTGCTGTGCGATTATCGCGAATTTCGAATCGTCGGCACGTATCGCAACCAACAGTGAGAATACGAATGCGGAATAATTATCATCATAATATAACCGATTACCAAAACCATTCGATTGATTTTCACGGTTTATTATTTAGGATCATGTTTTTTATTTGTTTAATTTAAATTCTAGTTTCAAAAAAATATAGATATTCTACAAACAGAGCTTATAACTAGAAGTTACTCTACACTGATGTGGAACCTCGTGTCGTAGAGTAAGAGAACTTATTATTATTTTTCTTTTTAACAACTATATAAAAAGAAAAAAGAAAGAAGAGAAAAGTAAATGTAACAAGAGAATCAAAATATACTTAACTTAAATATAATATAAAAATAAAACAATTAGTATTTTAATTTATATTTAAAATATGAAAAATTTGAACAAATTAGTAATTCTTTTGGAATCGCATTAAAATACTTTAAACCAACTTGTATACCATAAAAGGTAACATTGAAACTTTTTTAGTCCTAACGAATGGTATTTCGAGATTATTTTTTCTGAAATTATAAATTTGATTTTTAGTATTAAATAAATTATTCTTATAAATTAAGCATAGTTTTATTTTTTACCTAATTGACAAGTTATATTTAAATGTAGTATTGCATCCACCCCAAGCTATGATACCGTACTGGATTAATGATTGAACCATTGCAAAATATGTTATTCTAATGAAGTTTTTATTTAGTAATATTTTTTTTTTTTTTTTGCTACAATGAAGAGAAGTACGCTAATTATCTTATTTTAGTTATTGAGTTTTCTATATGAATATTACATTTTAAATGTTGATCTATTGTTATGCCGAGATATTTAATGAAAGTATGTTAAATTAATTTTGGACAGGTACATGTCATAACCATAATGCTGTGATTTAATTTTTTTGTTTATAGTAATTTTTTTTTTTGTGGTGTAATTCTTGTGTTATTGGAAAAATCAAAACATTTTGATATATCCTAATTTATTTTTAGTTATTAATCGAAAACCATTAAGCAATTATTAACAAATCAGCTTTACATTTTTTCAAACTGTATCCTAGTTAAAGTCAGAGACTAAGATGACCTTGTCGTCGGTTAAGAGTAAATTTTTCCATTGATATTGAGATTACTTAATGCAGCTACATATATTATGTATACAATATTTATATACAGATTTTTTGGGGTTATTTATATTCATTTTTATTTTTTTACCAAAGTAAGTATATTTTGCATTCACAATAATATCGATTAATTTATCTCTGTATTTTTTTATAATTATTTTGTAATAGAATATTGAACGGTTCTTGTCTGGATAGTTTGTGTAACTTATCACTTTTTTTATAGTTTTTATTATACCTGGTTGTATCAAAGGACTGTTATTTCTTTTAGGGTTATGTAGCCTTGTAATGGTGGATAGTTTTAATAAATTGTGTTATGATGTTGTGAATATATTTACATTAAAATTTGTATTATTACTATCAGTTATATCAGTCCAGTTTGTATGCTTAATCGAATCATTTAACTTATTATAATCAATTTTATTGTTAGTAATTGTTCCTGTATTTATATTTTTACTATTGATGTTCAAGTTATACTCTATTAGCTATGTAATTGTAAAATATTGTTATTGTTATTGTTATATTGTTATTAATAAGTCGATAAGATATACTTCGACGGAGATCGGTGAATTATTATTATTGTTAATGTTTGTGAAAACATGGTCTATACAGGAATTCGATTCGGAATATGAAGCGATATTCATGTGCGGTGTAAAGTTAAATGTGTTTATTATATCTAAATAGTTCTCTGTATTATGTGAACAATCTAGTATGTAAATGTTTAAATCACCTATAGTAATTATTTTAGTATTGTTGTGGGAATTGACTAAATTTGTAATTACTGTACTAAATTCTGTTAGAAAATTGTTTATATTATCATTAGGAAATCTTTAGATAGATATAATTCCGTATTTATAACCATTGTGTTCTATTAACGAAAAAAAAAAAAAAACAATTTGTATCTTGAATAATTAATTTAGATGTTTCGTGAATTAAATGATCTATTATAAAATGAATAACACCATCAGATTTACGCACGTTGTTCTTTATAAATTCTATGTTAAAGCCCATGAGGGATGAAATGTATTTAGAGTTGAAGTCGTTATCTATCTAGGCTTTCAAAGTAATAATAATATGAAATTTTTCATTTAGTGAGGTACATAAATATTTTTATTCGTGTTTAAATTTTTATTTATACTTCTAATATTTGTGTGTAATATATTGAGACTATTATTATGTTTATACAAGTTTACATTTGTAACATCAATACACTGTATTGGGGTTTGATCAGTTTAAAATTTCGTAAAGCGCATTTATTGGAGTCATAATTAGACTAAAAAATGTTCCTTAACGTTGATTATATACTAGTGGATATAATTAAAACGACATTTGGAGTAAGTTGTGATTAAGGTCTATGCGTGATGATAAGCTTTGATAAAATTAATGAAAATTTTGATATTTAGACTTTTATACCTTTTATATTATTAGTGACGTTGATGTTAATATTAAACTTTATCTAAGTCTTGTTGAGTTTTTATACTTGTTTTTGAACTTTCATCTTTTTTTCACGAGAAGGTTACCATTGTTGATCCATACGATTTTGAATTTTTTGTTTTTCCCAGTTGTTCTAGTCTGCCCAAATAGAATTCAAGACAGTCTTTATTCATCCTTTCATTAACATATACTTTGGTTTCTTTAGACCAAGCACTATAAATAATATTTGCCGATAGTTTAGAGAATTTTGCTGTTGCCGATAAGATTTCTTTTCATCTCGATAGTTTCCAGCTTTGCTACAGTGATACTGTTAATGGAGTTGGTAATATATACTGTCTGCTTCTATAACTTTGATATTAGTAATGGTTTTTAATCCAATTTCTTTGACGATTTTAGAAAAAATGTTCATTTGGTATTCCAGTTATATCGATTTATTTGTTTAGATTTGATTATTCAATATTATTAATTTCAAATTTAAGTAACAAAACTCCGCTTGATAAATATGTTATTTGTTTTCATTTGTAATTTTTTCATTTTCTATTTTCAGAACTTTAATTTTATTAAGCATAGAGTCTACTTTTTTATTAAAAACATCAAATTGTGCACCCATAAATTCCACAGTGATAATAAGTTTTTCAATTTTATGAGTTGTTTCCATTTTTGTTACTTGTCGATTTTTAGTTACATCTGATTCCGCTATTTTGCAATCACAGCAAACAAATATGCTTTTATTTAAAGTTGGTTTCAGATACGCCTATACAGTAGAATTTCACTGCATTTTTACAAACACTATATGCAAATGAATCTTCATTATAAGTTAGCGTTTCCGAACGTTTAGCGCACTTTGTATCAATAATAATAAAGAGTAAACCGTGAAAGATGTATAATTAAAACGAGAAAAAGCGATAAGGGAGTCGACGTAAAATCAGGACAGTGTCTGAATAAGTACTGATATATTTATGAACATATACTTGATGTAAATAAATTCTTATTTCAAAATCCCTGCATAACAATAAAAAAAAAAAAAATGAAAACGTTGCGTGACATTTGCGACATACAAATAATATGTACCTAACCTATTTACCATGTTTTTTCTATTTAAGTTCTAATAAATATTTGTTGAAATGCGTTTATTCGCTCTAACAAACATTATTTCATATGTCAGACGTCTAAAACCGTATACTAAATATTGTTTCTTCTCAATTTACCATCGCACTTCCATAAGTAGATACCAGCCAAGATAAAATGTTATAACCAAAATTTAACAAAATGTGATCCAAAATAATGTAAAGATTGTAAAACAAATTTTGGTTTAGTTTTTTTTTTTTTGCATAACTCCGTTATTCTAACAACAATGTATGTTTTTCGTATACCTCGAGCCATTTTAACTAAACACTGTAGGTTGGGGGGTACAAATTATCAGTGTACACAATATACAACAGTAATTATTGTAATGATATTGCTTTTATTTAAACTATTAAACAACAATTGTATCATGGCAAATAAATACATTTATACAAATAACTTAGTCTTAATATGTACATTAGAAATAAATAAATAAATAATAGTAATAATTATATAAATTATTGGTGTTCGTCTAGTTGCAATGAACTAGCATCGTCCGATATATTGTTACAAAAATACGACGCTTGCATTGAGTACAACCGATCTATAGGGTTTGAGCCACATCGTATAACCGTCTCCTGCGATACGAAACCGCCATAAATGTGTTTAGGCATCATATCTGGTGTTAAATAGTTCGGCTCTCGTCGGTTATCCAAGTCTAAAAATAAATCACAAGAACATTAGTTTTATACTTTGAATAGTGAACTATACCGAAACTTTATAATATCACAATGTAAATAGGAAATAAAATATATTAAACAATAGATATAATATACTTGTTTGAATGAAAATAGTACATTGAAAAGTATTGTTAAAGCATAAACATCACACCATGTACAGTGTATATTTTAAAACTGTTGAATTAAGTTATAAGGCATCAACTAATTGATTAATTACAGCATTCAGTATAAGTGGTGTGGACTTAGTAGTGTTTAAATATAAGTAATGAGTAAGCTCTGAGATGTAATAAAACAATTATTACTTATGCATTTGGATATTCAATTTTAATTTTTTTATAATAAATACACAAATATATACACACTCATATAATTATCCTTGTAAATTAACCAAACTATTGTATTATTACTGAGAGTGTACCTACTATGAAAATTTGATTAAAATTAAATTTACAATTTGATCGAATTGTTTAATAATGTTTATAATAAATTATGTAATTTTAGTGCATTGTATTTATATAAAAATTATTAGCCAACATCCATTGATAAAATAAAATAAAAAAAATTCAAAAATAGTAATACAAATTTCATAATATTAATGTAAGTGAGCTTGAAATATATTGCGTACTTAATTTAAAAATTACTATAAATTAAATTCGCAAATAAACGTGATAAAAACATTTTTAAATGGTGTAAGGGTATACTAATATTAATTTAAAAACGTATTTAGTGAAATTGGATATGCAATGAAATCGCTGAAAAATATAAAAAGAGAAAACGCAATACTTGAGGGGCACTTGTTGATGTACAGGTATTATATATTATTTCGAATGCTCCATGAAATAAGACCGATTATATATTGAATATAAGATTGCAATTGAATCATGAGATGTTCGAGACTTTTTTTTTTTTTTTGCTGAATTTTTATAATAAGTAAATACGCTTTAAAGAATACGTAAACAATAAGGAACATGAAAAGTATGCTAAGAAACACTGATCAACGTTAGCAATTTATCATTTTTAGATTTCAGAAATTTGAATTGTATATTTAATTTGATTATTGATTTTTATTGTGATATTAAATAAAGATTGCTTTAAAATAGTACAGTTATTAGATTCATAAATACTTTTAAATATTTCATATTAAAATTTTCTAATCTTTGGAAATTTATGAAAGCTATCTAAGTCTATACTCGTTACTATACGTGTGTCAAACTATTTGAATATGAATTACTTATTAAACGAAGTAATGCTAGTAATATGTACCATATGAATGTATGTTTAATAACAATGTAAGATTCTCTTATTTGATAACTTTATCTTACGAGTATATGAGATTTTAAATTGAAATTATAATTTGGGTATTATTAATGCAAATATAATAAAAAAAATTATATTTGTGTGAAAAGTTAATATTACATAGAAAAATGTATTTTTTATAATTTTAACGCTATTATTATATTACTAACTACTTTGATAATTCGTTAAAATATAAATAAATTATTCTAAATATACAAAAGTAATAACTCAATATGTTTTGATACCACATAGAATATTTTTACTTCATTTTAAATTTCAAATTAAATTAAATTAATATTAAAAAAAATATGTATATTCAAACCTTAAATATTTTTCAAAATTTTCAAAAAAATATTAGAGTGAACTATCAATAATCCAGCAGATATCAAACCAGAAAACGATTGGATCACAGAAAACACTGGATTAATGGATTTAATTTCATATAAATACACATTTTTACTTATTGAAAAACTTTAATTTATTTTATTAAGACTTATAATTAATGCACACATACATTCTTATTTATTACATACTGTGAATTAATTTTTTAGTGGTGCAGGTTTAAAAAAATAATTATGAATTTGTTTTTGTTTTTTGTTTAAAACGATACTTTTAAAATAAAATACTGCCACTGCTGGAGTATCAAACGACCGGTTTACTGAGAGTCTACTGTACCATCTTAGTACTATACATTTTAGATAATAACATAAAATCTTATAAATTTATTTTTCAATAACTATTCTGAACTATTTACCATTTATATTTGTCTATATTTAACAACATCACGCAGGTGGTTAAAACTCAACTAAATGTTAATGATTGTCAAAGTATAGTGTGAAATGAGAAAATACTTACAAATTAGACGATATTGTTTTAAACATAAATGAAGCAAATCCTGAAACTAACTTGCGTTTAATTGCTCAGAAAATTGATATTTCACATACAAATGTATTTGAATATATTATGCTGAAATAATTAAAAGCTTTTTTTATTTAAAAAAATAATTAAAGCATATTTTAATGTTAATTTGTCTTCACGACTTTTTTTTTTCATTAATTAAATTAACAGGTAAATCAATTTTTCTAAAAAAAATTCATAAACCGATCAATCGCTAACCAATAATAATGAAACAATCATATTGGTCTGTTTTTTGTGCAATTTATGTTACTTATGAATTGAGGGTTTTATATATTATTTTATGTACGCTATACAATAAATTATTAAAGATATTTTTTTTTTAAATACTTTAGATTTCAATAATGTATTATCAAAAAAAAAAAATCGTTTCATATTAAATATAGATATTGATTATACATTTACTAGGCATTTACAGTACTACTTTTTAAATACGTGATAATAATTATACGTTCATCGTGTACAATCAAACTCGAACAATTTAGTACACAAATTAGATCAATCAATTATAAAGGCCACTAGATTAGGAAAATACTTAGTTTAAACTTTAATAATTTTATTGTAAGAAGTCTAAATCAAAATGTTCATTAACATCTGTGATAGAATAACATTATTTAAATAAGAACTATTTTAAAAGAAAAGCACCAAATCAATTGTACTCAGAATTTATTCATAAATGATTTAAAATCTTTCACGAATAATATTAGTATGATTATATTTTAATTTCAAATAATATGTAAATAGATTTAAATGTTATTCAAGTATTCTTTGGATTATTCTAAAGTCGACACTGATTTAATATTTTCTCAGAAAACTGTATACATTTAATATTATTCATCGTTATTAAGATTTTTACTAGGTATTATAAAAAAAAAAAAAAAATTAACTTATCACAATTTATAAAACGATACTACTTTTACTTGGACACATCATACTCGTATCATAGATTGATAAATTATGAAAAGATTATGATATAGGTACCTTTAGAAGCATAATTATTTATTTTTAAAATTGAAACTAATCAAGGGCTATAAAAAATGAACAAAAGTTTTTAAACGATATGGGCATATCCGGAGAGTTTTTAAAAATTTAATTTTTCCTATTGGTCGATTGATAACAAAAAGAATAATAATAATAATTGAAATAAATATCATTCACGACTATTTGTATTTTAGAACTCGTCATTGGTGTGTACGCATGAAACGGTTGAGAGGGACGAGGTGTTATGTGTGGAGGTCACACCGCAGGAAGTCCCTGCGGGCGTTAATACGCACGTTTATTATTTTCTTCTCTTTGCAAAGGATCGGCGACGACGGCGGGAGTGTACGCGTGTCACCCACCCGTGTCTTTATTGGTCCCCCGGCCACCACCACTGGCTCGATGCAAGTTTCCCCTTCTACAAATCCCTTTGACAGCTATAAAACCCGTGGTGCGGGGACGAAGGATTATCCCCCCTGTTCATAGCCTTCGATCACAGCGGGCGCGGGTTTAATATTAAATTCTTCAGACTTGGACTGGTAGAAGGGGGTTAAGGGTTTTGTATGGGAACCATTACAAATAACGCAGGAGCTTTAAGACGCCAGTAGGGAGAGAATCTTCGGGAAAAGTCGTTTCTTTTCTCTCTCTTTCTCGCTCTATCTTTATTTTCCTTTTTTTCCTCTTTGCTTTGCGCTCCCTTTTAGCTAAATGCTTTCTACTAGGTCTCTTTTATTTGCAACCGAAAGCCAAGGAAATACTCTGAAAGCATCGGTATATGAAACTTGCAGAAGGGTGGAAGCGACCGAATTGTCGACCTTCGTTAAACATTAATAGTATTTCGTTAATAGTATTATATAACGTGGGAAACACCATTAATTTATTTAACCTGAAATCATATATGCATGCATGTATAATATTTACCAGTTAGTTTATTGGTAATTATAGTGAATAGAACCGAAATTTATTGACGACAACAGTTTATCTAAAAACACTAAACATAAATCTCTTAACCTCATTGATACAATGATTAGCTATTCAACAATCAACTATACATATAAACATCGCTGTATTAAATGTTTAAAATTGTGTTTATAAAATTGTTTGTAATTAATATAATATGCCATATTGGTTTTGGTTTAGTTCCAATAGCTTGTTAAGTATCTATTTAAAAGAGTTGAGATGATTATTCATTAAAAGAAACGAATTTAAACTGATCAAATCAATTTATTTTTATCATCAAAAATTACAACTATTGTAATATTTTTTTTTGAAACGGAATTTCATCTATTTAATAAAATAATAACACTAATCAAACTTACCTTGACCGAATATGCCGAAAGATTGTTGCTGTAAGAATGACGACATAGAGTCTTGCTTTCCAACGGTAGAAGATTGTTGTCGTAAGTGAAAAGGTTCATGGAGTTGTTGTTGAGGTTGTTGATGGGATTCTTGTTGAGTCGTTTCAAACCTTCCGGATATACCATCTTCACAGCCATCGGAACCTTAAACAAATTCATTGAGTAAAAAATGTAAAGATTACAATGTAAGATTAGTACTAGCAACCGATTAAAGTACCTCAGATTTGTGAATTATTCTTTTTAATAATTATAAAGTATTATAATTAGAGTATTCATGATAATAATACGATAAATATTCAATCATTTTAATATTTTGGAAATATTTTTTTTATTTTGCATTATAATATTATGATATATTGTAATAAAACAAATAAGGTTTACATTGTACTAAATTATGAAAACAAATTAATAATCAACAATCAACACGAGTTTCAGATTCTTTTGTTATATACGCATAGTTTGTGTAGTTAGAACAAAAATTAATCGCTAGTATACCGTATGCTTGAATAATTTATATGTTAGGTTAGATAATTGTATAATATTAACTAATATATCTTATTGGGTGTGGGTATATATAAGTAAAAAAAAACTGTGAAATAACGTCACATCGCTTGTATGAAGTGCAATATCGTTGATTATTTGGTTTGGTAACCTAACCTTCTGAGGACCAAGCACATAAGTACCTACATACTTACTAACTTTGTAAGTATCTAGACGTAGGGTATAGTGGAGACCGGAGTGATTGGACGGATAAAATCTGCCAACACGTAAAGTAGTGTTTGTTACAATTATAGATAACTGATTTAGTTCTATACATTTTAATGTTTTGCGAAGACAACCGCTCATTAATTGCATCAAAAGGACTTTGGAAGTCATAATATAACTTTTCTTTTTCATTTATTTATTTAATTTTTTAATATGAAATCAACAAGAACATTTATAATGTAAGAGATATCGTTGGTTTTAATATTTAATTTTTTTATTATTATTACTATGTTTTAAAAAGGTTTTAATTAAACAATCGCATTTTATTTTATAATGTATTTACATAAAATGTGTTTGAATAAAGTAGAGTTACATAAAGCGCTTGCATGTTATACCGAAAGGTTTATTCCACAGCCGTATAATTCATTCACAAGTTACACTAAAACTACAATACAGTACCAACAAATCAGTAGGTACACTTACATTATGTCTTACATCGAAGAAAAAATGGTTAAATTTAATGTAATACGGTTTTCGAAACTCTTAAGCATGCGTTACGTTTCATATTCGCACTTCTATTGATCAACGTTTCATATATGTCCTTAGATTCTAATAGTTAAAACGATTTTCTTTATGTCAGTTATTTTATATTTTTTATGGTTCATTAAATGGTTGAAAAATTACGATATTTTGTTGACATAACCTACTAAATGAAAAGTAGCAGTACAAATAGATAGTAAAAAATAAGTGCGGAATTGGGGTAGGAGGTTTCTCCTTCGCGCAAATCGACATAGGGTGGAGCGTCTTGGTTCCCTTGGTAACGGTACGACCCCTGTCTCAGTTCGAAATAGTGGTATAACCTCAGCGAAAATTTCTACTCACATACTTGGAATTTTCGCATAGAGTATTTTGAAAACTTAAAATTTTTAGTCTTAGAAAAACTACACCACGTATAAAAATATGTTTTGTTTAATATACTAACTGCACTGTTCGTCTTTTATAGCTGATTGTAGCAGTCCACTTGAACTACACGAATTACCACTCTCGGCGCCGCTACAGTTGTTGTTCCCGTTTATACTATTGGAAGTTATTACTAGGTTGTTACCGTTTAATTTCGCTTTTTTTTGGATTTTTTTCATTTTTGCCCTTTGATTTTGAAACCAAACCTATAAAAATAAATAATTATTACTTTATTAAAATGCCTGTTCTAAACTCAATTGATTATCACTTGAATATATATACCTAACATTAAACATAAACGTGATTTTAATGAAGAATGAGATAGGAGGTAAGTACTGATTTGTACTATAAATCAGTACCGATTACATATATTTCCAATGTAATATAATATAAGGATAAAAAATAGTACTGTTATAAATAAATGTTGGTTCAAAAATTGCCTATAAAAATTAAAGTTGTAATGTTCCTTTGTTAATAATATTTCATTTTATTATTAAGTTTGAAAAAAGTGATATTTTTTTCAGATAATTTTTTGTAGTCTTCATTTTGATTGAAATTATCCTATAAAAATATGATAAATTTCAATATGTGATTAAGCGAACAAACAGAATATAGTTGAAATCTACTAATTAAGATTCCATCAATTGAAAATTCCATCATCAAATTCTAATATATGAACATTAAAGAATCTTAAAATAAAAATGTTAGTTTTAAAGGCTTGAGAATTTTCTCTTTTTTTTTTTTTGGTAAAACAATTTTAAGATATTTAAGTGTATTTAAGTCCTAAACATCTATGGATTAATAATATTTTTCACAATACGTTTACTATTGAATAAAAATTTTATATTTGAATTTTACAAAAACATTAAACATGGTCCAAAGTTATTGAATGTAAATTTAATTTTTATTTAAGTATAAATCATTACAAGAAACTTTCATAGATTTTAAAAAAAATTAATTGATTTTCTTAACATCGCTGTTCAAAAGTTTTAAGATTCATTTCAATAGTCAAGTTATTAATCATATTAATTGTTTTATCTTTGTTGTTTAAATCTAAAAAAATGATTGACTAATGAATTTCGTCTAATGTTTTACAGAAATCAAAAAAAAAAAAAAAAGAAAATGTATAACATTAAAAAGTAAATACTTGATCATGTTATGAAAATTTCATGTAATTGTTTAATAAATTTAGCCGAATACTTTTCATCGAGATCAATTAACATTTATTTATTGCTGCATTTAATAATAATGAATTTTGATATTTGGATTCGCCATCGTTGTTCATCAATATTAATATTGTAAAACAGGAGCGGCCAAACGGTCAATCGCGGACGATTTCAGAGTCGATCATGTTAGAATTTATTTTTACACCACGTGCACGAAAATTAACTGTGGTGATTAAGAACAAATTGTCGCTCAGTTTTATCTGTATAATTTTTATTTTTTATTTTGGTTTATAAAAAAATTTTTCAAGAAAGTCAATCTTCAAAGGTGATGTATATTTTTAGTAGATCGTGGCCGAAAAAAGTTTGGCCACCTCTGTTGTAAAATAACTCTAACCACTAAACGTTTTAATGGGGTTCGGTTCATACTTATAAACGCGTAAATATTTAAATGCGTGTTTGTAAAAGCAATGAACTATAGTGAACAGTATCGCTTGAATTTTAGTACTTGTATACTACTTATCCATCCAAACTCTAAAATACAATTGAACAAGCGATCTTCCATGAGTTTCGAATTTTCCTTTCAAATGCGTTTACAAATCATTCATACTTCAAATTGATAGCCATTTAAAGTTATAAATAAATTGTATCAACAATCATTATACATATATGTAGGTATGTTAAGTCATGAAATTCTGTACAAAAAAATTTAAATCCGTTCATTTGCTACCATGCCACATGATTGAAGTAGTTTCCAAGAGCTGCAAGCAGAGGTATACTAATACAGGGGTAAATCTATAGTATAGTAAATATACGATTAAAGTATACATAGATATATTACGTAATATCGGTATAACTTTTATATTAATGAAGAAAAATATATATAGATTTATACCCTTTAAATCTTCATATCTCGAATACGAATATTAAATTGCATCAGAGTTTTTGTGATTAATTTTAGAAACAAGCATTGAACCGAGCAACCTACCAACCAATTAATATACGTTGTCCGCGTGTGATTTATCACACACATGGAGATAGTAATACGAAGAGATTGTCTAGCCGAGGCAACACACTATTTAAATCAGTTTTAATTCATCGTATACATTTTGACGTAGATACGTATATTATGTACAAAAATATACTGAATAATGAAAAATATATTTATTACTTTAAAACTTTTACACGATAATTAAAATACATTTTACTATTTTTCTTCATAGTCACTATTGAAATTGATACATTTTTCCCAATGATTGAGTAACTTGAAAATGCCATCTCAGAAATACGCAGCACATTTTCCATTGAAGTATTCGGTATTTGCGTTTATGACACATCATCAAATTTTTAATGTCATCATTAATTTTTCATCAAAAAATGAAACAGTAAATGTTGACCGATACATTGAAATGTTAGAAAAATTGAAAGAAAAAATTCGTTTCAAGATAAGAGGCCTATGACGCTCAGAAAATGTGAAACTGTTGCATGACAATGCAACTCTATATTCAGTGGCAAAAATCAAAGACTGACTGGAAAAATACAAGTGGAAAGTATTGTAACATCTGCCTTATAGCCCTGATTTGGTACACTCAGATTTTTTTTTGTTTGTTTTGTTAAAAAAAAACTTAGGAGGAACTCATTTTGAAAATGAGGAGGAGGTCATGAACGCAGTTACCGAATACTTCGATGAAAAAATGTGCTGCGTGTTTACGAGATGGCATCTTCAAGTTACTCCGTCGTTGGGAAAAATGTATCAATTTGAATGATGACTATGTTGAAAAATAGTAAAATATATCTTATTTATCATGTAAGTGTTTTAAAATAATAAATTAATTTTTCATTAAGCAATATATTTATGTAGGTACATTATTTATTGGACAGCCAACGTATTTTCGTACGTATAAATACAAACCTGGACAATACGGACACTTAAGCCTGTATCGTGAGCAAGACCTTCTCTAACTTTCCGACAGGGTTTTGGGCTTAGTTCAAATGATGCTTTAAAAGCCCGTCGCTGTTGGGTAGTCAGTATCGTTCTGGGACGCTTGGGTCCTCGTCGCCCATCGTGACTGTAATTCCAATCTCCTGTAGTGCAAGGAATACATAAATAGTTAGGCACAATTAAGGAATGCTATAAAAATGCTGTAGAAAATTTAATATTTAGATTGCATATCGAAAGATATTTAAAAACATTACAATTATATAAATCATTTTTATTTCTTAACTAAGATCAATCGTTTCATTTTTGCCATTTTTCTCAAATTATTAAAATTTATAAGAATTATATTCTATAGTAGTACTTTAATAGTGCTTTATTTACAAAATAGTTAACTTGATTAAGTTTTGTTTTAACTTGCAAATTAGATAAAAGCATTTAAAAATATCCTTTTTGAAAACATTACTGTCTTGGGTAAAAAATGTTTAACATTTACTTAGCAAATATTTGAAACATTCAAACTCCTTTCTTTACCTTCCTTTTTATTAATCTGTCAGTATTGATAGTAAATATTAGAAATAAACAAATTTTTAAAATAATCGCACATTGTGTCTGTTTCAAAAATATTTAAACATTTATATCTTCAAATGGTTAAGCTTGTTTGTAAATTAAATAAAACGTTACAAATTGTAATTGACAATAATAACATGTGGCAGGTACTCAATGTGGTCCGTTACAATTTTTTAAGTAAAACAAAATATTAAAAAAAAAATCTAAAATCATCATAAAATACAATTTTTATTAACTTATTAATTTTATTTTTGGATATTTACAAGCATAAATTTTACGATTTAATATCAATATAATTCGCGTATTTAACATAACGTACTCATTAAATTAATGTGTACCTACTGCTGTACCTTAATCTGTAATATTTTCAATAATCAATCAAATATGTGAACACAAATCCGATATGTACCTAAATGTATGTTGTGCACCTATTATGTGTAACAAAATTATATTATTAGATTATTATTGGCATTATTTGTGCTTATATATTTGGTCGCCCGTTAAAAGACCATTGTTTACCAAAGTTACTCGCCTCGAAAGAAAGGTTGGACATCACTGACATATTACACGTATAGATATTTTACTAAACAACATTTTCACTCGATTATTAAAAACGAGAAATATTTTCATTATTATTTGCCATTTGCTCTAGTGCAGGAATTCCTATTATTATAATAGTTCAATAATTTTCGGACAGCATCACAGAATAAAAGGATACACACAAACGGACAACGTACGTTTTTTTAATTTTTACGGGACTTGAGAACAATAATTATTAACGTCTTATAGGATCGTGTCCTCTAGACAGTAATTCACTGACCTGTGTTTCGATTGATTTCGTCTCGCATCATGTTCACTTCCTTTTCGTAGTCCGGACGACAAAACAATTGCGAGTGCTTGATTACATACTGATCGCCGGTGCACAGTCGTATACCACACACCACGCACACGAAACACTGCTCGTGGAACACACATTCGCCCGCTCGCATTACCAGTTCGCCGGCCGCAATATGATCACCACAACTGCCACAACTACGGTACACACACCTATAGAAATATAATAAAAGTGTAACAATTATGCTTGTACGCGTATTATTATGCAGTATGTATTCGGTTCTAGTCAAGAGGTCTTGATTAGTTTTACAGTGTTTAAACATTATTGTTGTTTATCAATGAGCAAACATACTTGAGGCCAATAAATAGTCTATTGTTTTTTTTTTTTTTGTTTTTATTCTTTCTTAATCATATATTTTTTTTCTACAAAATCATTAGATTGTTTCTTACAGGTATCAGTTTGATAGGCGAAAATATGTAAATATTGACGTACAATATTTTATATTTTTTCGAGTTCAACCGCTACGAGTGAAGTACATTTCTTTGCTGTACATTTTATGTTGAATGAATTATCATGGACTTTTCAACGCGGGACCGTACAGATTTCGACCGATTTATCACTATTACGAGCATATTACTATCACGATTTCCTCGAATGAACTATTATTTTCCTGTAACATTTTAAAGCTGCAGAATATTATTTACGATTTATCGTTAGAGATTTTGATCACTATTTTATCACATAAATTTCCATTGTTCTTTAAATAATCGAATTCCCGACTTATATTCTGTACATATTCTTGTTTAATGATTATTTGACTTTCTTTGATATTCCATAATTTTACGAATTCCACGTCCGATGTACAAATTATTTCATATTTTCGGGGTACAAGAAGGAACTTTTCGGAAGTCTCCAGGATTCGCAATATTATACAATATTACACAATTATTTTTTATATCAGCGTTTAGATCTGAATTCCTCAATGAGATCAACCGGCTCGCGATTTTTTTAAGCGCATTTTATTATTTAAAAACTGACCCTAAGACGTATGGGATGTGTAGCACTGTTTTTCATCATGCTTTTCATTTTTATGTTCTATGAGAACATTGATTTTTTATGGATTTCGATCATAAATTAACTATATATTATACCCCAGAAATTAATTTTTTCTCAGTTTTGTATACACATATCTTTGTCGAAATCAATATGTTGTTAGTTTTCACCCAAATAAATGCAAACTACAGTGAAGGTGAGCATGAAACTTAATTTGGTCGGAACGTCTATTCAAGTACAGTACTTTTAAAATAACTCGTTTTTTTTTTTATTAATCATGTTTTTTTGCCTTTTATGAATTTATTTCAGTTCGGTGACCTCCAACGATATAATATGTTTTTGTAATATTGATAAAATGTCCCAGCGGAAGGATTGAAAGTACGATTACAAGTATCTCTATTATAAAAGTTAGCTACACAAATATTTCAACTGAGATTATGATAAGAAATCAAATAGAATATTAAATTAAGAAAGTTAAGTGGCAAAATATTTGAAAGTATTTAAAAAATTATAAAAAAAATTTATTCTGTGCTAAGTGAGTACATAAGTATTTAATAAAAGAGTTTAAAATGTTTAAATCACAAAGTTCAGACTTCTGAGGTTTACATATTTTATTTTAAATACGACTTCAAATTTTTTATAGAAAAAAATGGTCTTGTAATTTTATAAGGTCTTTTTTATAAATTTAAATATTTATAAAAATAATATAAATCAAAACTTTTGAGTTATAATTTTTATTTTAAGTACTATTGGAAAAATATTTATAATCCTATTTCAAATTTATTTGAACATTTTAAAATTGTTCAACAGTAAGGAAACCGCTTTCTATTTTAAAAAGTTAAGCTTCATAAAAATATACCCTGATTATACCTATTATACCTATTTTACCCTATACCTAATAATTAGGTAATTATTACAATAGCAATTTTTTTTCAGTTTATTAATTAAACTATAATTTATTTTATCTTACTGTAATTATAAAATTTGCAGTAAATAAAAGTTATAATTATAAGTTAGATTATCCCATAAAATCGTCATGGTTAGACTGAGAAAAATTTCAAGAACAGATGTAACACATTAATCACCGGTATAGAACCTTAATGATTTTACTCTATAAGAGATTTTTTTTTAATCTATCGTACCTATTAAGTCTTAGCAATAAGGAATACAGTACAGTATTACATTTTGCTTTTTCCTACTACGACTTTTTTCTTACTGTACACAGATTTCATATTTATTTCACCGCAAGCTGCTTATTGTGCGTAGATATATATATATATATATATAGGGACATATATGTATTGTATGTATATGCTCAATTTCTGTGTCGTTTACTATATAGAAAGCTACAAATAACACACACATATATAGAAATATATACAAAGTACATTTCATAAATATATGAGTGTATGTATGTATGTGTGTGTGTATATGTATGTATACATAGAACTCGCACGGCTGCAGAGCTATAAAAACAAACCGCCTAATAGACGTATATAGGTGGAAGGGGCCCCAAAAAGCAGTCAAAAGTATAGTCAGTGCAACATATTGTTTTTATACATCGCATCATCGCGGATCCCCTCTATCCTACGACACTTGCATTATATTTATACGATGTGACGTTTTCACGGTTGTTACGGTAACGGTGGGGGTGACCCATGATGAAAGAGAGAAAGAGAGGGACAATATGTTACAAACAAGTTCTATACTGTCATCCCTTTTTTCCCTCCGATCTAAGGGTTCCACACAAATCGCTGTGACCGTCTAATATCTGCACCTGCTATCCTCCCCTACTCTTTTTTTCTGTGACGTAAGACGTATGCGCGCACGTGTTACCGCAAAATTCAAGAATAAAATAAAATAAAAACGATTTATTTACACACACACACAAACTTCTATATATAAATATATATATATATATA